TTGAAATTTTTTCAAAAAGTTGTTTCCACTTGCGAAAAGTTCCGCTCAAGTCTTGGCTATCGAATAGCGAAAATCGCAGGTCTCTATCTCATTCCTATAAAAAGTTATTCAAAAAACAGTCAGCCGCATCATACTTTAGCGCCGATAGTAGAACGGCTTGTGAATGGCAAAAGTTTAAACAAACATCTTTCATCTGAATACATATCGTTAAAATAAAAATGGATATTACGCAATTAAAATAAAGATGATACTACGCAAATACCAAACAGGAAACCACGACAAAGACTAACTTGATATATTACTCCTTCGACTTCAGCTTTAAACATATTTTCTTCGTAAATTTGTGGTGTTGGTATTGCTTCCGATTCACATCGTCTTTTCATTTTTTCTTTTTGTTTGTGTTACATCTAGGCACAACTAGGCGTTACACCAGTTAAAAACTGGTGTTGTAGAACAAACATTTCTCTATAAAATGAGACATTCCACAACTCTTAGCGATTCTTCACAATCAGATTATAGCAGTTTTCCTGTATGCCCTAACACCAGTTTTTAACTGGTGCATACCTAGTTACATCACTGTTGTGAGTCTCTACTTGTACTAAAAAACAATCATATTTAAACTTTTCGTTTTTCTTTGGTGGCGCCAAAGGTAAACTCGGAAAAGAACGCTTCATTCCTTGACTTTTCGTATTTTTATGTGAAAAAGTATGCTCATTTTTTAAATTTTTCATTAACACCATTATCGAAACGAGCCATTTGTATAAAAATGAATGTATCTGAAATTCCTATCTTTTTAGCATCGAACAATAAAAACAATGATAATAAAAATAACTCATTTTTGTTTTCTTCAAATAAACCACAGAAATCAATGAGATGTTCTTGTACACCTTGCTGCTCATTTGATGTAAAACAAATACATGATTCAACACTAAACCGTTCTTTATCGATTCAAAACACAGCTCCTGCCATTACCACAGGAATAGTTGAAAATTGTTGTTTAAGTAAATTAGAGGTCGATTGTCGCGTTGAGTGCGAGAGGACGAAACGAAAATCGAATCGTGAAAAACATCGAAAGTCTAAGCGGGGATATAAACGACGTTTATTATCACCAAATATGACGTTATTATCAACACGTTCATTAAGCAAATTTGACAATGAACATCATAATAAAGAACCAAAAAAGCGCTACACATACTATCGTTCGAATTCTCCTCCTATTGATGATGAACTACGAAATGAACAAAATACCGGCATAACAAAACAACTCTCATCTTCGTCGTTTACAACATCATCTTCTATCAATACCAATAATTCTACGTCAACATCGACTAATAATACAGCCAACACATCTAGTTCATCCACTTTTTCCATCATTTCAAAAAAATCGAATAAAAAATTAGCAAATTATTATAAACAACAAATATTAAATTCATTTAGAAAGTTGCAACGATATTTGACAGCAGTAAATAAAATTACTGAAGGAGAGTCTAGAGAAGATGAAAGTAAGAATACATCGAGCGTAAGAAAAAACTTTCAGAACTCTCAGTTACAAGCAACGGTAAACAAAAAAACTGACTACTTATCCAGTTAATAATACTATACTTCATCGAAGCTATAAAAAAGACTAGATGCCACTTTAATCACAGGTTCACCACACTCTAAAAAAACGTCTTTGATTTCGAAAAAGACAGATAAATGCGACTTTTTTCGACAGAACGAAAGAAAAAAGTCGCGTTTATCCATCTTTTTCGAAATCGAAGGCGCTTTTTTTCTAGTGTAAACTATTTAACTTTAGCTGTAAAAGATCAGCCTTTAATATACACAAACTATTTAATGAATAATACCACTTCAAATACAAATTATCATCAACAATTTAAACCACTGATATTCTCCTGTGTGCCATTAACATCAAATCATACGGCAGTTACGACAAAGCAAAAATATTCTGATGATGCAAATGATAAGTATCTGGATGAAGAAATAAGACAGCTGAAGTTATCTGTTAATCACTTAATAAAAATAATTGCACAGAAAAATAAACAGCCAGAAGGTGATATTATTGAACAACTATCAAAAGAAATGACAACTGCTATCGAATCATCCAAAGCAGAAGTGCATTCAAACAAAAACCAAACAACAACAGCAACAACGAAACTATGTGACTCAGTGAAGAGAATATTTAGTTTATTTGGAAAAGAAGCGACACCATGTAATACTCTGAATAAAGAACAATATCAAAGTAAAATAGAAGATGAATGCAGACAAGTATTAGACCGTCATGGACTAACAAAACAGAGTCTTGTGCACATTTTTATGCTATTTGAGAAAAATGACGCCATTTTTAAAGAGTGGTTAAAAAGCGAACAGATATGTATGCCCGAACATATAATTCTGCACTTATTGGATTATGTTAAACATTTTCAATTGCAGCAAATATAAACAGACAGAAGAATGGAATAGAAATAATTACTTCCGACTTCCAGCAGTTGTTAGTTAATATCAACGGTCATGATGCAAACGACAAGTCAATATTCATAACAACATGCTTCCAATGAGAGAAAAAGTTAAGAGAGCTCTTTCTTCAAAAAAATTTGCCCATGTTTTGCCATTTTAAAAAGTACATTAAGCTAAGCGTAGTCCAAAAAAAGCTTAATCAAAGCTTTGGTTTTTAACACAATCAGATCGAACGCGTTAAATTATAGATACTCTGAAGTATTAAACTCTCAAGATTAATCTTTCGAGATTTTCATATTTTTAAATTTTCCAAACACCAAAAAAGTGTTCGATCTTGAAGAGCAAGTATTATGAATAAAGCATTCTCAAACATCGTTCCTCGAGAAAAAACATATTCAACGTGATGAGCTATGGATTGTGAAAATAAATATTTTGGAGTTGCATTTTAAATTCAGTTATGCAACTCTAAGGGGAAGGATCAATTTTGAAAAGTTAAAAACTTCAGAATATGTATAGTTTGACCTGTTCGATCTGATTATGCTAAACATCAAAACTTTCATTTAGCTTTTAAACTCTTTCAAAGTCTTTAGTTACTTGAAAACTTCTTAACTTTGGTGGAGATCTGTACTAAAACTTTTGAATATGCTTAGTTTAATGTGCTTTTCAAAATGGCAAAGCATGAGCAAATTTTTTCGAAGAGGTAACCGTCCCTTAGAAGAGTCTGACATACTGTCACTCTACACCCTGATATAAAGAAGATATACTGATTAGAAAAAACTTAGCAATAATAGTTTAATTATGGTTTATAACTCATTCCTAACAATCGGGTCTGTAGTTTTCTGCAGGCTTACTTTATTAACACATAATACAACATTCGATATAGCGCAGTAATAAAAGAAATAAAATTTAAGTAGTATTGTGAATAAATTTTGTCAATTATCCAACTTCATAAAATTATAAATCTTATTTCATAGTACTAGAGCCTTAGACATATGTCATTTTTCTTCTTCATTACAGGCATTTATCTCTTATTTTTTTCTTTCTTTCTTTCTCTATATGGGCGCATCACAATTTCTTGCTTATTTTCTGATCTGATTCTGTACATGACTTTCAATAGTCATAAGTTTTCGTAATATGCTTGTTCTCCTTTTCTCTTAGACCTAGAGTTTGCGTCTAGGGTTCACAAAAAATAAAGTAGTATTTGAACTTCGCACACATTAAAACTTTTCGCTAAAAAATATCGTTTTGCTAAAAAATTTTTCTTATTGCTTCAAATAACAGAAAACCTCTTCAGTGAACAAATGTGTGGTTACACAATTTTTTTCTTTCTCTGGTTTCATATCTCTTGTTAGAGATCCATAAGATCAAGAAAATTACTAAATTCACAAAAGTATAAGTCTGAAGAATTTGAACTAAACTCTTCCAACTTCCTGGCAGTCTTTTCACGTGAAATGGATATCAAATGCAGTGCTTTCTGTTCAAGAGACAGCTAAATTAAGCTGCTCATTGACATCTCCGCTTTTTTCTACGATTGTATTTACAGTACAAAAATAGTTTTCACACAATATTGTTAAAGTCCATTGTCTGAGCGATGCAAAGTAAATAAAAAATGTAAAGTTATCAATCATAAGGTAAAACAAAAGTTGATGGACATACTATACTTGCTATGGATATACGTATCGTGTGCACCTCCAACGCCTGAAACAAGTCTTTGTTACTACTGAAAACCTGTGAAACTTTTTGTTATTTAGCAGTAAAAAGTGTAAAAATATTTAAAATTTTATACAAACTCTTTACAAACGGGTTTTTTTTAATCAGTATTGGTACCGGGAGCAGAGTATAAACTGATCTTTACTAATGCCAGTGGCATGTGCTTATTTCGCACACTTTTTCTTTAGTTTTAACAGCACATAAACTCGTTGGATTAAAGTTTTTATTTTTCTTAAACAAAGTACGATTATTGAACTAATGCGCGCCCAGGACAGGAGATCTTATTTTATTTTCATTTAAATTCAAAACTTTTTATCCAATGAATTGATAAAAGCTAAAAAGCCAAATAGTACCTTATTCCAAAAGAGCCGACGCTTGAATAAGTTCAAGGTGAAAAAGCGTTTTGTTTAATATCTCAAAGACTGATATTTTTAAAAAAACTGATGTCGCAAGAAAGCAGATAAGAAGAAAAACAAGAATCTTGACAGACTAATGTCAAGATTGTTGTCTATTGTTTCTATTCGTTCGTTCTTTTTAAAACGCGGCCATTTTGATCGTGTACGATCGTTCCTCTTCAATAATTCTCTTTCTGAGTACACACTTTATTCGAAAAGCACTCTTCCATTCTTCGACCACTACAAACAACGGAAAATGTAAGTTAAAATGGTTATTGTCTATGGTTACAGACGAGACATAGGACAGAATAATGGAAATAATATTAAAAATAATCATTTCAGAAATTAATATTTTTTAAAACAGTTTTTCAGTCGTGTTAGCTCAACTTGCTTGCTAATTCAAACAGGCCTCCGAGAATCCGCTCGTTTTAATCTAATTGAGCTGTGTTCTATTATACTAAAGCGTGAAGGAATGGAAGAAAGAATGTGTGCGTAAAACAAGATAAAGCGTAGACTTAAAAAGTGAGATATTTTTTATTTTATGAACCCCGAAGGCTCTTTTTATTGAAAAATAGTCGAAATCAACCTAAGATGGATAGTTTATTTCTTCACGTTCCTGTTCTTAGCCTACTAAACATTGTGTACTGAATTTTTCCTAATAATAACCAGCCAAGATTTTGCTAAGAAGTAGATCCAATTTTTTTTCACCAGTTATAAGGGAACTTTCTCATGTAGTATTTTACCTTTGATTTTAATTGAAATATTTGTTTTTCAGCATCATTGGGGAAAACAAAATTTCTGAGGAATGAGCCATTACTTATTCTCGGTCCTATCTTAGCTATGTCATTGATAACAACCTGTGACCGAAGCCAACAATAGACTCAATTATAAAAGACCTACTGCAGTACTGTAGCAATATTTGCGCTGATAGATCTTATTGTGTCTTTACGTATCTTCGCTTTTGTAAGAGTTTCTTTTGTTTTTCTTTCTTCTAGGACTACTCAGTCATCTTGTGAAAATTATTGTATTGTTCACGGTTGTCCAAATGGCTCTATATCACATCCATCAGTTCAACGTTTTTCTGTTCCAACACATTTACCAAATATTGCACATCAATGGTATAAAAATACGATGCGTACTGATCTACGTCCATCATCTCAACATTCTGTATGCGAATGTCATTTCGAAGAGTCATGCTTCGAACATGTTTCAACAATGGATCGCCATACAGGTGAAAATAAGACAACAAAATGTCTTAAAACGAAATCATTACCAACATTATTTGACTTGGAGGTTTTCTATAAAATGATTGCTTATCAAGATAAGTTACAAGAGTCAAATAAAACAATTAAAAAAACAAATATTACATTCCACACATCAAATCCTGAATTAGATGGTAAAACTTTAGAACCAATATTAAAAATGAATTTGGAAAGTGGGCATGTTAAAACACGTCTAGCACCAACATCGCCAGGAAATAAAGATACACAACCGTCACCAGTGGTAAATTTTAACAACACAAACACTACACAAACGGCGGATCTAAGAAAACAACAACAACAGTCAAAAAATAATAGCAACAACAACTCATTATTTGTAGTTAATAAAACAGCTATTAATCACCATGATAGTGTAAGCAGTTTATTTTATCATATAGCATTCAATCAGAATGTGAGCCGTTTCAAAAAAACCTGTGTTTCTTTTTTAACCGTTAAGGATACTGAATGTTTTTTATTTTAGTTTGAAGGTAAAGCGACAAATCGTTGTTTTGTGGAAGGATGTGAGCACGCTTATGTGGCACGTCGACACCGTGTTCAATTATATAAAATTCCTCGAGATCCTGGAATGGCACGAAAATGGCTAGATGCTTGTGGTTCATCAGCACCCGTTTCGCCGGCAACTAGTGTATTTAAAGTATGTCGTGAGCATTTTACACCGATGGATTTTGAAGGTCCAACAACACTGAGATTAGACGCTGTTCCATCTCAATTCACTCCACGTTCATGTTTATTAATGAATAAACAATTGCCCGAACAATCAACAATCAGACAGCAAAGTTATAATGACGATGCAAACAGTGAAATGAATCATAGTAATAATACAAAACGATTTCGTTCTGATAATGTAGCTATGATACGGCCAAAACACAGCACAGTCGATACGAAACGATTGCAAAAAGCAATAAATACGCAACCATACGTTAATTATAATCAAGCTCGTTTTCGTTCATCGAAAAATAGCCATTTCCCTCAGATTACATCACAGTATCAATCATTCAGTCAACAACACTCACAAAAACAAGATTTTTCTCCTCCTCTCTCACCGTTACCTAGACGAGAGAGTATCGAAGAAAGTATTAAACAAATGATTCGAGAAACAAAGCAACAAATAGATGTGGAATTAAACATGAGTTGTAGTGAAGAACAATTATCAGACGCACAATTATCGCATTTTCCTGTTAAAGTACGTGAATATGGATTCATGTCTCCATCGTTCAGAGGTGTACTTATGAGTTCGGAGATTGTTTTTTCCTTCTAGAAATGACTTTTCAATAGTAACGTTTCATTGTGAAGAAACTAATTTGCTCGTTTGCCCTGGCTATTGCCCGTTTTTCTAGAAAACCTCGAGGTTCTCGCTTTCAACCGCCGACTAGTTCATAGAGCTTTACTGAATTTGTCGCTACAAAATTAATTTCGCATTCGTTTTTGTTCACTTCAGGTTCTTGATAAGATGGCTAATTCTGCGAAAAAACAAAATGCACGTTCTCGTCCACCACCTCGTCAACCCACACGCACTTATTATCAGCAACAGTCAGATATATTCGATGATGATGAAATGGATGACATAGCTATGGATTATGACGATGATGTGGGCGGAGATAGTCACTTAAATGATAAAGATTGGCTAAGTCAAACACAAGACGATCGTTTACCATGGTCAAAACGCGGCGGACGCGTTGGCCATTTTGCATATAATCGTGGTGGTAGTGCAAATTCGTTGTATCGTGTTGGTAATGGCAGCGTTGGACGTAACTCGGTTCCGAGTGCAAATCGTTCACGTGAACATTTTCTCAACACACAATTTGTCAAACCAGAAGCAACAAGAAAAGGTACAATTTTGACTCGATGATTTACGATATAGTTGAAGTCCATTATTTTTTAGCGAGTATCCCATTTTTACAACCGGCGTTTGATCATCCGATAACGCATTATCCGAGAGATCAACCATTACCAAGAATCAAGCCTGGATCAGTCAGAACAAGAGGTAACCGTCTATTGTTAATCAAAATTATTTTCGGCTAACTGCCTTTGTTTTCTCTTTTAGAAGAAGGTCTTGAAGTTGAACTTGGTATGTTTGTTGCGAATATTAACTTCTATATGTTACATATATTTTCGCTATTCTTATTTTCAGAACAAACTTATCGGCAAACATTAACGAAATATTATGGTCAAAAACCTGGTGGAACTATTGCTTTATCAGAATATGGAGATTATCGTAGTAAAGTGAGTTATTTTGTTTGTATTTGTATACACTACAAATAAAAGTTGTATCATCGTTGTTTATGTTGAATACAGATCATGTTCGATGTTTTCTCATAGTTTCTTTAGTGTTCTGCATGCAATGAAACATTAGAAAATAATATTCAATTAATTATTCATCTATGTAAACATTTTGAAAATAAACAACAAGATGAACAACAAGAACAAAAAGAAGAAAAGAGAGAAGATTATATTAGTCCATTTAATCAAATACAAACAAAATGTGAACAATGTCGTTCGGAATTTTCAAATCCCTATTATTTATATATGCATATTGATGAAAAACATATGTTAAATTTGAATGAGTATCAATGTCGTATATGTCAACAAAAACATGGATCATTACTAGAATTAATAGCACATTTAAATTTATGCCATTGTGGATTAGAGATGCCATATTATTGTGAAGTTTGTACTTTTCGAACATCAATGTACAGCGATATGATTTATCATATTGATGAAGTAAGACTTTTATGCAATTAAATTTTTATTCTAAAGACATGTCGAAAACTGAATTCAGAATAATGTCACGAAGATTAAAGTTTTATGTAACAATAAAACTTACAGAGTAAACAAGTGGGAGATAGGTTACTGATGTTATTTTTTCTATTTTGTGTGGTTCTACGCGTTCGCCTTAGCAAAAAACTTGAGTATACGGTATTCAAAAGGCTCTCCTGAATCAGTAAAGATTAGCCTCAAAGTTGACCACTAATACATAAAATATCTTAACATGGAAGTGTTTGTTTACTTTCTAGCTCCATAAAAATACTCGTTATTTCTTTTGTCCATATTGTTTTGCGGCAATACAATTACCATTATTAAACAATTCATTATTTTTAAATGGTTCTGCGGCATTTAAACATTTACTCCTACACTTTAATAAAGTAGATAATGGTCGAGCGACGCAATCAAAATTTAAACATTGTAGAAAATGTACATTGCATGTGAAAAGTATTAAAGACCATTTAACTCGAGATCATTTGAATATTGTTGACGGAATAAAAGCAATGTATTATAATGATGCTGATGGAAGTACGTTATTTGGTTAAAATGAAGAATTTTTCTTTATTTTTTTATAATTTTAGCCGAAAAACAAAGTGAAAATGAGTGTGACCTTGATATAGAAGATTCATTGGATGAAAATGCCACGCTTGAAGATAAAACATTGTCTGCTCGATATATTACACCATCAAAAGTATAAAATCAATGATATGTTGTTTGTATTTAATTGGAGAAAAAAATAACTCTTCTTTTTTCTCTTGTTTTTGTGGTAAATGGTGCAATAGGAATATGACATAGCACAGAAACACTTCTATTTCGTTGTTTTCATTCTGTTTCTTTTTTATGTTTGTTCTCTTTCTGAATGTATATAAATTAATTTTTACTTTGTATTTTTTGTTCTTTTTGTAAAAAGGTGCGCTTCATTCTTATTGTTTATATGCAATAGTTGGATCTTATAGAACCGTCTGCTTTTAGTATTTTGGACGAAATAAAGCGAGAAATAAAAACTAACCGCAAGTTTACTAGTAAAAAATGAAAATAATCGTTTCTTAATGGAATAAATTGGATAATATTTTTTAGGTAGATCAAATGTCGTTTCATGTAGTTGATAAAATTGATTACACAAGGCAAAAGCACTATTTATTACTTATATCTATGAGTGAAAAGTGATTTACTTGCCGGCGATTTTTTCTGGCTCGATAAAGTACTCGATTTCAAAATGTTGACTAAACTTCTGACCACGAATACTGAACAAATAAACTGCTTTTTTCTACGAATTTAATGAATGAGAAAAGTTTGAAAATTTATGAAGTCGTTAAAACACTGTTTGCTGCTAAAAAAATGAAAAGGCTGTGATATTCCGTAGAATTCTGTATCTGTATTCGAGAAACTGTATACTAGCTTATCTCTGGTATCCACGGAAAAGATCTCTGCTAGAATAGACAACAGTCCTGTTTCACCACAGTTTTATTGATGTTTGATTTTTGGACTTTTTATATTCTTTACTTTATCGATATATACTATAATGAAGAAAAATAATAGCAATAAAAACACGAACGAATCATACAAATGGTCACATAGAACGTGACTAACAAAAATATGGTAAGACCTTTTTTTCAACTAGCACAGAGCATATACAAATAAAACGAATAGATAAACACATTGAATTAGAAAAATAACACATAAACGCCTATAATCTATAGACGCGTATCTACAAAACATTTAAAAGAGAAATATTTGTTTTCAGAAATAGTGACAAGTACATCTCGCTGCTAAACATTCATCAAGATGTTTCGCCATTAAATCACCATGCGAGGTTGAGTAACCGCACACACAATTCATTAAACAAGAGTTTGCCATTTTACGTAATGCTAGATCCGTTAACGGCGTTAAAGCATGAGCACTAGTCAAATGTTTTGCATATTGAGTTGAACATTGAGTTGAGAAAATACACAATCGACATCGATAACCATTTCTATACAACAGATAAACGAACAAGATAATGACAACCCCGTGAGAAACACTGAAATAGGATTTATTAGCTGCGTACCTTGTATGGCGTTGCTCAGCTGTACCACCAGGACAATCGGAACATATTAAACCCGTTCTATTTGTTGTCATTTTCGAATTCTGCATCGGTGTAGACGATGCATACTGTTTACGAGTGAACTGATTTGAATAAGATTTGGTATCGTTTGGTGATAAATTTGGAGATATTCTAGATAATGGTAGCCCTGTATGATTTGTTCGCCGTCGAATAGTTGCCATCGGAACTTGAGGATGTTCATTCACTTCGCTTTTCGTAGTATAACCAAAATTACGACTATATACTGTAAAGGTATAGAAAACACAAGCGTGTTTAGAAAACTTGAAATACAGTAAAATCATTTATCTTACATGCATTTGTATTTTGAATATCATCGTAACTATCGACAGAATATAATGGTGTTGTGCGTGGTAATAAAAACTGATTATTATTAGTATTATTATTATTGTTCTCGGTTATTGCTGTATGATCACGTGTCAAGTGTTCTTTTATGGATTTCACGTGTAGAATACAACGACGACAATGACGAAATTTTGATTCCTTTGTTTTGTTCCCTTCGATACGATTGAAATGTAAAAGAAGATGTCGAAATGCTCCACCGCCGTTTAATAAATTAGAAAATTGCATAGCGGGCAATGGAATAGTTTTTAAACAATAACTGCAGAAAAAGTATCGTGTATTTTTGTGTGTCTAAAAAGAATAGGAACACAAAGACATATTCAAATCTATAAATGAAATAACAAGTGCTTCTAGATTATCTCGCGTAACGAATCAATTAATCCTTGCTTCGAAAATCAATAAAGAGATTAACACTTCTCAACCAAGTATGCTTGATAGCTAACAGATAAATAATTACAGAGATTAGACGAACGTACTTCTCGAATATGATGTATCATATCGTCATACATTGATGTGCGATAACCGCACAATTCACAATAATAAGGCATTTCTAATCCTCCATGTACAAAATTTAGATGGGCAAATAGATCGATGAGAGTATGATGTTGTTGATCACAAATACGACAACGAAATTCTCTTATTTGTAACATATGCGTTTGATCTTCATGCATATACAATTTAAACGGTGTGGAAAATTCTTCATGACAAACTTGGCATTGTAAAATAGTCTTATCGAATGGACACAAATAATTAATATCTTCTAAATGTGAACACATATGTGAGGTGAGTGTTATATTATTTGGAAATTGTTCGTCGCATACAGAACATTCTAAAGAAAAAAACAAACATTTAATAACAAAAAAGTCTTAATACATGTTCTAGTACTAAGAATTGTGGAGCCACTTACTAACTCGAAAATCTCCATAATCAGTTGGATCATTGCCTTGACCATTTTTAACGCCATAGTATCTCGGTAAAGCAATTGCATAATTTCGTTCTAATTCCATTTCAAGTGAATTGTCTCCTCCACCACGAGAGCCAGTAGAAGAATATCTTTGGGATGAAGTAAACAATTGTGAACGAGATAACGGATTATTATCAAAACGAGATGGTTGAGGGCGGACAAAATGTGTTGTGGTTGAAAATGAAAATCGACCACTTCCACCACTGCGCCCACGTCTTCCTCCTAAAAAAAAGGGAACAAAAACTTAGCATGAATAAATATAATGTCTGCAACGTCATGTACCACGAACGCCACGATTTGCTCGTCTTTCTTGGTAGGGTTCATAACTTTCATCATCATCCGATGATTCACTAGGTACAAAATCTTCATCAGGATCATCCAACTCCTCCAAATCTTGAACTTGTAATTCTTTTACCAACGATGTACGTTTTCGAACAGCAGGTAGTGGTGTTGGAGCTTTCGGATCGTATGCCTAAAGATGGAATGATAGAGGAATGATGTATAAAAATTTGAACATTCTAAACAAAGTGAACATGGTTAAGTAAATGAGACAAACTACTGAATGAAACTCTTTATTTAAAGATTTTTCATACAGTATGTGCATATTTTATTGAATGACACTTCTCTTTATCTATGACTCACCCACAATAGCAAGACATATTAGGTAAACAGCTTTCTTAATGTGAAAAAACAACCGCATTCTTGAAGTAAGTTTTGCTTTTGAAAAAAAACACACGATGTTACAAACTTACTCTTGTTGGATAGCAATGTAATTGAGCTTCGGTTAGTGGTTCATCTTCACATATCAAATCAAGTTCATGTGTTATTTCTTTTGTGGATTTAATTACATTTTTAACTTTTTGTTCAATGTATGTTTGTGATTGGTCACCAGTTGTGACATAACTAGTCGATGTGCTAGTCAGGTTGTTTTTTCCCGTAAATTTCATCGCTTTTGGTTGTCGAGAACTATTTGTAGAATTTTCCGTATATTGATTAGATATAACTGCCTCTGTTTTTTGTCGATTATTTAATAATGAAAAATTCGTTTGCGTATTATAGGTTGTTGATCCATCTATTCCGTAATTATTGGTGTTGTTATTATTTGCATTGAATACTTTTTTATCAAAAGTATGCTTCATTGCTTTTTGAGACTTTCGTTGCTGTTGTTGTTCATTTTTGATCATCTGGGAGAATAATTGATTTCCTGGTATACCATCTGTTTTTAAACTTGAACTGATAACGTTTTGGTAACGAGATGTAGTTGCTTGTTTCATATGCAACATCCTAAAGAACGTGTCAAATAAATGCTATAAATAATCTTATGAAAAGTACGGAAACCATAAAGAAAGAAGGAATCAATCGCCCTAAGTGTTTTCATAGAAAAACTTAGCAGTAGACATTCTTCGTTTACAAGCTTGGCACTAAAAGTTAATCAATGCTTGTTACAGTTCTGTCGCATCAGAAATAGATTATACAAAAAGAACGCTGAAATAAAAAAGTAATCATTTTATACTTTTCCATATAGTACGAAGAGCATTTTTGTTCGCTTTATCTTTGAAAAACTTACATCAAACATATAATATGCCGTTTTAAACTGAAGTAAACACATATCGCAGCTCTAAACAGGTCCTTTGAACAACCCACCCAGAAACAATAAATGAACCTTCATCAGCTTGAGTAATTTCTGTACTTTCCAAAAAAAGCGTATGTCATGACATTTGAGATTCTCACCTCCGATTCACATAAATGAAAAAATTTTGAACAGCTATCTACTTTATATTCTAAATTGTCTGTGTGAAATCTAATGCACAAGTGAACAATGTTGCGTCGCTCTATAATTTTAAAAGATGAAAGAACAGAAAACAATGTCGTAGGCTTTTGTAGAGGAGAGCAATAGAAACCCGTCATATGTTGATTCACAATGGCAGAAGAAGAGACAGAAAAAAAAATATGATAGGTGAACATCTGTGTATTATATCGGTAGAGGGCACTGGCAAACGACGCCTCGAGATCCCTCATCATCTGTGCCATCTACAACCTCTCTTCTAAAATGTTCAATTTTTGTATCGCGCACAACAACAAACAAAAGAAACACAAAGTCGAAATTGCTGTGTGAGGCTTGTTCAAGAAAAAACGTCTGGTTACGTCGACATCTTTTTTATTCTATTTCTTGTCATTATATACTAATACATATTACATCATATCTATGATATACACTGTATGTCACATATTATACATAGTGGCGTAACCAGAAACTGGCTATAGATACGGCGGTGGCCATACCGCTTCCCAAAACTTTTTGGAGGTAGTGTCTGCCAAATTCTGCAGTGGGTACGGCGAAAGTACCAATAGGTACGGCGGCCGCCGTATCTTGGTTACGCCACTAATTATACAAGTACTGTTCCTCTTCGGCACACTCGGTTCCTTCACGTTAAATCACAATGATCGTCTTTTTGCAAGTTACACAAGCACATATCTTCAATAGCGCATCTATGTACGAATTACTTCTGGTTCCTCGACTCGCTTTGCTCGTCTCGAAGCCAGTCGACAAATGTAAAGTAGCGTAGTAACATCTCCCTACGCGTCGAATAACATGTTCAGTCTTCATTTAACACTGTCAGGATCTCAAAGAACAGTAGAAACCGAAATGTTTCTAGACACCTCCTGAATACCTTCTCATGACGGGTACCATGGTCAATGTCCATTTTACACCGGATCCAACTAAAAAATAGATAGAAACCTTGGAGATTTTGTAGATAATCTATGAAGACCTCTCAGAAGTTCTATGTGGAGATATTAAATTGCCTCTAGTGTATAATTTTAGCTAGCTAGACTGTTTCTCTCTGCAGTTATTCTATTTTTGAATATATTATGTCGACAGACAAACATTCTACGTTATATGATCCTGACTGATCTTAAGGGAATAGCGTTACATCTTACCTTAGTGAATGTACTTGCATAGAAGTACTTGCCCAAGTACCCTCGCAAGGTTTGTCGTTCTTGGCTTTTTTCGCAAGTAAATCAAGTACTTGAACTACTTGATCTGCTTGTCAAGCACTTGGTTAAGTATTTGTTCAAGTAACCGGCAAGTACCTGAGAAAAGTTTGACAAGTAAATAATGTACTTGGTAAGCGCTACTCTTGAATAAATTCTACTGTTATTTGTTATATACTTTGGAAGTACATAACAAATAATATGTTTGTGTTGATAGAATAATGTTTACTCTGTTGTTTTATTTTGATTTTAACATAGCGAGTACGTAAGAAACAATTCTGATGAATGTGCTCATAAAACTTTACTCATATAATCGTGGCTGTGTAAGAAGTGTGGTCATTCCTGTTATTTCCATTTGTTCAACTATTAACAGATGAACTCGACCAAATCTGACCAGTACTCTCCAAAAAAAAGGTTTACTATAAAATCTAAAAGAGTATAGAGAATTCCAACATTTCTACAGTGTTTAGGTTTCGTATGATATTTGGGATTCACCATTGGACTACCAAGAGTCACTAAGTGTTTTGAAAGATAAATGGTTTCGTACGGTCACTTCGAAAAAAATAAAACTTATTATAAAAAAATCTTTTCTGCTAGACCTTTTTGATGTTTTAGTAAAAACAACCCGAAATCTTCTTGGGAAGAAGTTATTCTTCGGGTTTCGTACGCTACCTCTATTTCATCAACAGCCTACAAAGCCGTATTTCATAAAAGGTTTATTGCAAAAACACGAAAAACTAAAGGTAGTGATCCTTTTTTTGGAGAGTACAAATCCTGAGCTCTGGGTATTAATTGTCAATCTTGTGCCATTATATTTGCAAGTACTTGACGCTGTTCTAAAAAAACCAAGTACTTGTTCAAGTACAGGAAACACACCTCAAGTATTTGTTTACTTGCAAATTTCTGCGGGTACTTGACAAGTACTTGCTCAGACACTTATCAAGTGGTATTTTTGAAAATATTTGCGAAGTTCCTATAATGCATGTCAAGTACCCGCAGAAATTTTCAAGTAAGCAAGTACCTGCTCGCAAGTACATTCATAGGGAAGGATTCAGCCTACACTAATGGTTTGAACCGAAGATGTTAGATAGAACTAAAATATATGTGTTTATGGCTGTGATCGGTCGAAGCTTGATATTAGAAGTTTTCTACAAAAATTAGATATATTTGGGATTCTGATTGATTCTGATTAGTTTTAGTACTGGTTAAATGCAACATACGGAAAAGTTCTGATACTAGTTAATTATTAGATCCTTACCTTTTCGTGTAGGGTAAAAATCACAAAATCACAATAAAAAATAGATAAGTTGAGAACAATGATATGAAATATTCCGATTATTATTATCATTTTAACAGCGTATGCTTGAGGCTATTATATTATGCGAGCTGCGGTGATTTATACATGAAATTTTATCAATATTGTATATGTGCATTTCATTCTTTAAATTTATTTTCAAATTTCATGTGCTACATTTTATGACAACGACAACAATAAAATTCATCACAACAATGTCAGACAGTCGATAAAATCGACAGATGGTTAATATTGGATATTTACGTTTGAGAAGTGATGTTGGAGATGATACACAGTTATTCTCTATTTAGATTAATAAATAAAATACAATATATAAACAAAAATATTTACATTTTTAAAGCTTGTGTAATGTTACATGTGATTAATTGTGTACATATTCATTGGTTTTTCTGTTCATTGCATTAATAATGGCATAGATGGAATTAATGTTGGTTTACGTGAATAAGCCTGTTGAAATGAATGATTTTCATAGACAAGAACGGTGACAGGAACATGTCGACTATGAGCAGCTTGTTGTAATAATTGTTTTCGTTTTGCTTTATATCGACGATTTTGAAACCAAATTTTTACCTGAGTTTCGGATAACTAAACAAAAGCAAAAAGACAATTGCATGGTTATTTCTTTCTTCAAAAATCACTTTTAAAGAATGTAATAAGCATCTCAACTATTTGAATAGATAAACATGGTCCTTATAAACTTACCGTACAATTTTGATCAAACGAAGAATTGTTACATTTTATGAGACTTCATCCGAATAAGACTAAGTAGTAAAAAACTCTTATCTTTATTTTCTCACTAAAAGATTTCCTATGTTCCTCGAGACTTTTTGTTTGCTACTCCATTTCAAACTGAAAAAATAGATGATCGAGTGAAATTGCTAGCAGGACGCTAAAGATTTAATTCAGCTGCATTCATTCCTGTCCAAAAGTTTGAGGCATACAGTACTAACTAGTATTTTGCACCATCAAAAGAAAATGAAAGCAGCGCCATGAAAGTTTTAAAACGGTTACTTAAAACACGTAGCAGCATTGTTAACACATGTGTGATATGTGAATTTTTAACGCCATCAAAAAAAAAAGTTTTTCTCTGTTAATTTTTTTTCATTGTATAAGAATAGTATGGACATCTACTTCAACGAGGAAGAAGATGCCTCAGTGTTGTTCTTCCTTGGCAAAGTCGTTGACGAGGGGATCTCACCAAGTGATTCATCGGAACATACTCTAGAACAGGTAGTTTTGCTGCTGATCACGACTCCGGCTTTATAGATCCTTCTTGGATAAGGCTACAGAAACCCAATTCAGTGGCGGATCCAGAATTATTCTTTGCTATGTGCGGTATACGATAAAAGTACGTGACACGTGCGGCCGTCACAGAAACAAATTATTCTAAAAGAGTTCTGCTTAAAAGAAACAGTTTTTTGGTTGAAACATACGAGCGGCCGCTCGTACCTCTCGTAGGCTAGATCCGCCCCTAACGCAATTTCTGGAGAACCATCACAAACTTCAAATCGAACACACGCTGATACTGTCAGATTGTAGGGTATATCGAGTTATTTATGTAGATAAGTTTTTGAGGTTAAGAGATCAATTTCTGTAGAATTATGAAACGTTCACTAGAATACAAGCTGAAAGTTCAACTTCAGAAAAATCTTTTTGACCTTTGATGATTTTCCTAGAGGACCCCTCAGGAAGTAGAAAACAGTCGAAAAGCTTTTTGTCAAACAGGTAGTGTCATTCGAACGAGCTGACTGAATTGACCAAAACTACCAGATAGGTTTTTTCGTCGCCTTCAGGGAGCTGAGATATAGAAGCAAAATTAACTGTTGCACATTTTTTGCTGTATTTTATAAATAGCCGACCATAAAGGGTTAACGAAAAATTTGAACTTTCAGCTTGTATTCTAGTGAAAGTTTTATAATTCTACAGAAATTGATCTCTTAACCTCAAAAACTTATCTACATAAATAACTCGAAGTACCCTACAATCTGACAGTATCAGCGTGTGTTCGATTTGAAGTTTATGATGGTTCTCTAGAAATTGGGTTTCTGTAGCCTTATCCAAGAAGGATCTACAGGAACAGATTCGTGACCAGCAGCAAAACTATCTCTTACAGAGTATATTCCAAGGAAAAATCGAGGAATCACTTGGTGAGGTTCCCTCGTGAGTCACTGGTGAATCTTTTACCTTTTTCGCACAAATTCCACTTTTTTAAGTCTATGTCACAATTTTCTAGATACATAAATAGATCAAATCTAGTAGTACTAAGATGGACATTAAAAACTACCACTGCTGTTCTATGACAATGTTTTTCATAGTATTCAAAAATCTTCGAAGTCAGAACTTTTTTGATCGTTTACCGATTTCAACACGTTAAAACAAATTTTCAAAAGTCAACGCTTGATAAACACTTCCTGTTTTCTCTCTAAATAGCAGACTACCAGCTAGTATTGAACGCGTTCAAACCCGCATTCAACTAGCATCTGAATGTCTACTGTAATATTGAGATATGAGTATGTTCAAATTCATCGTTTACAATCGAGCTACTCAAGTTGTATGTTTTGGCGTTTGATGAAGTTGTTTTGTGTATTCAGCTGGAAAGAAAAAGTAGTTGGTATTGCAATCACAAAATTTTAGGAATGTTATCTATCTAATATTTTCAGATTAAGAGTACAAATACTTCTGTTTCTAAAGGCAGAGTCTGCTTTTTCTGATACGATCAAAATTTAGTAATTTTCGTCCAAAATACCAAACTATCATGGTCGGTGAGAGTCTACAACTTCGATAATCGAATGCAAGAGACCGGTATTGAATACATAAGGAGCTATCACTGCTTGTTGTCCTCTGTAAAAACGCCCCACATGTGAAGAGCTTAACTTGAACAAATCTCAAAAAGCGGAACACATCTCTCTTCTATAGTTAACTTAATCGCGCTTCTTAAATTTCACCTGCCTTTGTTATAATTTATAGAAACTCAGAATACTCTTCTATACTAATTCTTTCTTAGCTTATCGCTGGCTTCTTGTTTCATTCAACTATATCAAAAATTCAAAAACGTATCACTTTAACTTGGTTTTTGAGATATCATAATTCAAACATTTCACAGCGTAGAAGCTACTTACTGACTTAAATTATTAATGTAGCATGGAAGACTCTATTTTGTGTAATCAAGAAACTGATCACTGAGAAAAAGAGAACTATAAAATTCTCCTATTGTTATCCAAAATTAGTTCTCCATGAACTTTCCATAACTAAGTATTGACACTTTTTTTCGATTATGTTCATGGAAAAGTTACTTTACACATTAAGATTATAATCAGACAAATAAGAAGTTGAAATTTATTCCCAAAACTTACATTCAACATTGATGCAAGTTCTGCACGTTCGCTACTTGACAAATATTTTTGTTGACCAAATCGACGTTCTAATTCAATGACTTGAGCATGTGAAAATGCAGCACGTGATCGCCGTTTTGTTTTTTTTAACACCGTTGCGGTGGTTGATAAATCTCTCATATTCATAAAAATTGTTTTACTACTTTTACTACTATTTGTGTTTCTGCCATCAACACAATCATCTAGAAAACACACAAACAAAAAATACAACACTCACACCTCTTTCTTAGTTCAAATTAAAAAAGCAACCAACAGTTTTGTTCGACTTTAATTTTTGCCTTTTTAAACTCTTTTAATAAAAAATTCATACTTTTGGTTAACCTAATCTCAAAACAAGTTATGTTTTGAATACGTGAGCTCAGTCGAAATCAGTTAAAATACTTACTATGATAAAAAGATTCGTTGTTTTGTTTGATAAAATTTTTCTCTAATTTATGTTGTTGCTGTTGGAATGATGGTAATGAAACAGGCGATTTTCTTAAAAGTGACTCAACATCAAACGCTTTTCCAATCATAAGTATATGTTTTGTTCCAAGAGAATTTGTAGAGCCAATATTACACAAAAATGATATTTTGATAAGGTTTCTGAAAAAATAAATAAAAAATTACTTTTAAGAAGAGTTTTATCCGATAGGGGCACTTCGATAAGAAATAATGTTTGACTAATAGCAGACATGAACCAATCAATATAAAAATTGAGCTCTTTTTTCTATTGGTTAAAAATTTTTATTCTCTTTTCTCTCTACTATATTTGATTATATCTGTCTCTATCTATTCTATTTCTAATCTTTATTCATTTCATGTCGTCGTCAAAATATAATAATTTCCGAAAGAAAAAGATGTGGCTGTGCACACATAGTTAATAGGCTTATTCGACACGTGTCTTATGCTGACAATCTTGATCAGGAAATGAGCAGAGAAAACAGACAATTAAGTACAATTTTATTTTTGGAAATCTTTTGTTCACGAATGGAAAAAATTGACAATAAATAGAGAGTTGATCATGGCGTGTAAACTATGTACAACCCACAGTGAAAAACGATCAACTTCAATAATTGTAAACATACATCTTTAAAACAATTATAAGAACATATATCATTGAAGAACATACAGATGGTTGAAACAAAAATATTTAGAAATATATGACTATATGATGGTAGATGATCGACAACATTCTGAAAAACTATTCAGAAATTATATACAAAGTTAACCTTTATAGATTTTCAAAAATGGATAGTCAAAGAAATGTAGGATATTTTTTGTAATATCTATGAAAATTTAAGATTTTAGGTATTCTTTCGTTGTACAGGGATGGTAAAAACTTTTGAATATTGATTGACTATTTTTGAAAAATAGAAAATATTTTTAGTATACACTTTTAGGAAGCAATCATAAAGGTGTTTTCAGAAAGTAGAAATAACAATAAAATGATTATACTATTTCCTTAGAGAAGAAGGTGGGTAGTTTAATTAATAATGTTGATCACTACACTCTATTTGATGTTGTCATCTGTACATGGAGAAGAAAAAAAAGAACGAAGTTGCAAGTATATTATTATTTATTCTATCAAAATAGATTATTATTCTTCTACTATACTCTATTATATTTACATTAAATGTTGATGTAAATGATATGCATATGGTCAATGATAGATATGTGATCATCAAGAACAAATTACCTTACATACAAAGATGAAAGTAATTAATCTGCAGGTTAGCGTCATGCCTATAAACATTTATAGGATATCACTGTGTCTAGTATAATGAATTATTATTTTTTCTTCCTATGATCGTATATGTTTATAACACGAGAATGTCAGGTTTGCCAAACGATTGCTTTACACAACAGAACAATTATCTACATGATTGATAATGCCAAAGAGGATGATGAGCACATAAATGTTTGTCGATTGATATAGCCTAACTACGCAGACCTGTATCTCATTAAAATGATTACACCGTTTGCTTAATATAACTTATTTTTCTACCAGATTTTGTATTATTTTAAAAAGTGAAATGACTAACAGTGTATAAGTGATTTGTTTTTGTTTGATAATCTTCCGAAAGCAGTGTTGAAAATACATTTGTCTTGACATATGTATTTTGATAAAATTATACTTAAAGCAAATCCTCTGAGACCTATGAGGATCTGTAGCAGAAGTCAAAATGATCCAACTTGTTTAAGGTCTGAATGGACTAAAATTTTGAAATCAAATTCGCTTGACCAATTTGATCGAACAATTTGAATCGCTTCAAGATCGGCTCAAATTAAAAAATTTCTATATAGTTTTGCAATATCTTTATTACGCTTCAAATATAAGATCCACAGTAAAGTGTTAATACGGAGCGAATTCTGTTGTTTTGGCGTTTTTTTCCTCAGTCCATCAACTACTCCTACACGATTCGACAAACTTCTATCATGATTATCTTGCAATCTAAAAATTCGATTTCGGTCGTCCATAACAATACGTCCGATAGTTACTGAAGATATAAAGCGTAGCTTTTTAACTAATCAGGCGTGTTTCGTTTATTCATTATAGCTCCGAAGGTTGATCAAAAAAACTTGGTGATTCATGAGGTGATTATAGTTGATTGTCGTATGTATATACGAGATTTTATATTGATAAACCGCATAAATCATTGACTTCAAGGAAGATTGAACATCGATTTCAATTCCAACGCATGCCGAATTATTGCTTCGAGTATAAAAAACGTGGTCCAGCAGCATTATCAGTTTTTCTTAATCGTTTTGATCATAACGCTTTAAAAAAAGATGTTCTTCAGTTTTTGAAAAACTGATTTTTTTTGTGCTTTGGAAAGAACACCATTCTTTTAGAGAGTACATTCGGATGAATTAAAAACTTCGTTAGTTAAAATTTATCCAACTGTAGATAAATTTTAACTAATGTTCTTTTTTCTAACGATCTGTTTTCAACGACATCACCATTACACTTAAATTTGCTGATTTACGTGTTGAATTAATTCATAGTTGAAAAAACCATTCGATACTTTACATGAAAAAGATTATATTTATTAATACACGTCGGCATAACGTTGATGAATATTTATTACAAACACTAGTTTTAAGCTTCAGCTACTAATAAATGTTTTAAAACAAGTGTGCAAGAATTGAATGATAATATTGAACTCAGTATCAATGTCTACATATAAAACGTGAATGTATTGTTTAACCACCAGTGATCGTACATCACTGGTGGTTAAACAATACAAAAAAATCGTGAATAGTTAGAAAAATATGTTTTAACTTATGAAAAGTACAACAAAATTGAAAGAGTAATTACGATTATGTAGTTTGACTATTCGAGCAACAAAAACTCCCTGTGGTTTATGATTTTTGTCGCATAAAAATTGGATTGGACCAGTTCGATCTTTGTTCTATGGATGAGATTTCTTTTTGGTAT